GTAGCCACCTGGGGAGCATTCCAGCAGAAGGAAGATATGTCTCTCTGTCTCTCTAACTCTGACTTTCAAATAAACAAATAAATCTTTTTAAAAAATCCATGACTGGGGCAGGCATCGACTGTGGTGCAGTGGTTTGGGACACCCGGATGCCGTATCTGAGTGTCAGTTTGAGTCCTGGATGCTCTGCTTCAGACCCAGCTCCCTGCTAATGCATCCTGGGAGACAGCAGTGATGGCTCAAGTGCCTGGGAGCCTGCAACCCACGAGGGAGACCTAGACTGAGCTCTGGGCTCCTGACTTAGGCCTGTCCCAGGCATTGTAGGAGTGAACCAGTGGATGGAAGATCTCTCTTTTGAATGGCTATATACATTCCCTAATATGAATGACATATGTAAGGTATAGTTAATATAACTAATTCATCAAAAGTTCATAAAAAAGTGGTATTTTTTGTTAGCAAGACCTACCTGATGTGTGTATGTGTGTGTACACACAAAAACAAACAGAAACACACATGAGGAATCTTCAAAAAGTTCATGGGAAATGCGTATTATGAAAAACTACCCATGGATTGCAAAATTTTTGCACCAAATACATTTATCTTTTAGTTTCATTTTCTATGAAATTTTTGAAGTGCCTGTGTGTGTGTGTGTATTTGATTTATTGTATCCTAGTTCTTTTTTTTAACTGTTTTTTTTTTTTTTGACAGGCAGAGTTAGTGAGAGAGACAGAGAGAAAGGTCTTCCTTCCGTTGGTTCACCCTCCAAATGGCTGCTATGGCTGGCGCGCTGCGCCAATCCAAAGCCAGGAGCCAGGTGCTTCCTCCTGGTCTCCTATGCGGGTGCAGGGCCCAAGCACCTGGGCCATCCTCCACTGCACTCTCCGGGCCATAGCAGAGAGCTGGACTGGAAGAGGAGCAACCGGGACAGAATCCGGCGCCCCAACCGGGACTGGAACCCAGGGTGCCGGTGCTGCAGGCGGAGGATTAGGCTCACTGTATCCTAGTTCTTAAGTAGTATTACTGGACTACAGAACACTCTTTTTTAAAAAATGGATTTATTTATTAATTTGAAAGGCAAAGTGACAGAGAGGGAGGGAGGTAGGGAAGGAGGAAGAGAGAAAGATCTTGCATCTGCTGATTCACTCCCCTAATGGCTGCAACAGCCAGGTTTGGGCCAGGCTGAAGCCAGGAGCTGGGAACTCCATCCAGGTCTACCATGTGGGTGGCAGAGACTCAAGCACATAAGCCATTACCCACTGCTTTGCCAGGTGCATTATCAGGAAGCTGATCACAAGCAGAACAACTAGAGCGCCAACTGGCACTCTGATAATGGGATCCCAATGTTGCAAATGGTGGCTTAACTTGCTGTGCTGCAACGCCAGCCCCCAGAACATTCTTATACAGAATTGTCCAGGTGGTTCACTAAATTATCCATGTAATTGGTCTTTTTATGAACCCAGTTCACCTTTGGGCTTTCTCTATGGTTGAGATACCTGGGCATACATAGGCTTCATTCCTCTCAGCTTTCCCAGCTGGGATCAAAACTCTTCTTTCAGCTGGGGCTGCTTCCTTACTCCATGCTTGGCTGACCAACCTGACTCCCCAATTGCTGGACTGAGACTAACTCCCTGATAACTGGTTTTATGGCATCATTGGCTTTATGGCATCAGTGGTTTTGTATCTCATGAGGGCCATGCTTGAAGTCTCATCCCCAGTCACTCATAATATTTATGCTGGACTTCCCTTCCCAACTTCCTTCCTTGCATTGGTAATATAGCGTTTTCCCATGGATACACCTGTTTCCTATAGCTGGAATAGCTGGTACTTCTTGCAAAGAATAGGAAGTTGCTAGTGGGGTTAAATTGTGTTCTAGAGAAAGGTTAGATTATGTTTCCAATTCTTTCATCTTAAAAATAGAAGTTTCTCAGTGTGAATGTAGACACTTGTTGTTCACTCATTTATTCAGTTGTTCATTCAGTGAATGGACATCAACTAGGTAGGTGCTTAATACTATCCTAACTACTGAGAGGGAATGCAGAAAACCAAAACACAAATAATCAAATGAATGCTACAGGCTATATGTGTTACAGGAGTACATATTTGAATCTCTTAACAGGTCTACTTTTCTCAAGTTTCTCCCCTTTGCAATCCATCTTCCACACTCTGCCTGCTGAGCTTTCTCAAATCAAAGCTCATCTATTTTCATAGAAAAAGTGTAAGCTCTTTAGTGCAGCATTTAAGGATTTTCATAATATGCCCCATTTTCCATTCAAACCTTAATTCTTCCTACTCTCTCATACAACCTATGTTCTACACATAGGAAATTTCTCATTGGTTTCCTGAGGCATCAGGCCTTTTACAATCTGTTTCCTCTGCCTAGGATGTCTTCCTCTAATTTTCACCTAGGAAATTCCCAATCAACCTCTAAGGTTTGGTTCAAAGTCTTGTTGAAACCTTTCTCCTATGCCCCACATCTACCCTGAATTTGAGCACAATGTTTTATCATCTTTATTAAATGATGAGAGTGTTGAGATCACCAAGTTTATCTTGTTCATCTTTGTATTTCTGAATTCAGGCCTGAATAGGGCTTCACAAGTTGTAAGGGCCCAATGAGTGTTTGTTAAATGTATGAAGGAATAAATAAATGTGAAGGAGGAGCTCAAGGCACCTTGGTATATTTTGATGAGGGTTTTCAAAAGTCACAAGTCTTGAAGCTAAACCTAGCAAGACAGTAGAGAAGTGGGGATTGGGCATCTAAAAGAGGAGGATTTTCATCCTCGGGGATGGAATAACACAAGGCCATGACTGAGGGTGGAGACCGTGAGGAGGTCATCTAGGCTGCAGCTGACTGCTGCAATATCTTGACTTTCCAGTAGCTAGATTTCTCAATTACATTTTCTGCTCCTGAATGGCAAGGTATTTTGTGAACTCCTTTGTTTCCCCTTTATATTTGATGCATATCTCCATAGTCACTGTTCCTATGGTCTTATGGTTCTTATTCTGTTCTGTATTATAACTGTATGTATTTGTATATCTCTCCAGCACTGACACCACCCTTTCTGTCCAACTGCTTGAGGCAGGGATGAAATCTTATTGTCTCTGTTTCTTCCAAAAACACCCAGCACAGTGTCTGGCACACAGTGGGTGCTCAGCAAATAATTTTTGAACTACCATTTGTTGATCTGATTTCAGAGGCCCACAAGGTTATTTGTGTGCAACTGTGTATTATGACACAAAACTTAAATATGCCTTTATACTGCATAGTCTATTTCTGGCAATTTTCATTAAAATGTTATCATATTGTACCTGGAAGACTGTCATTTCAATTTTCTTCTTTGTTCCTTCTTGGATGACTCACATCTTTATACCAGAAAGATATGACAGAAGGGATTCACAAAGAGTTTGCACAAATTTATGAATGACATACTCAAAAGTGTCTGAGAATAAGAGAGGAGCATGCAAGAAGGAAGGAAAGAAGTTGCATTTCCAAAGTGCTCATTAGGTGCCAGCATCTGTGTGTTAGGTGCTTGACATACATTTTATCTCACTTAATCTTGCAGACTATTTCAGTACAAACACAAAACATTCTGACCCATAAGGCTAAACTCACATGCATTCAGGCACACAGCTTCTCCAGGTGCCAGAGCAGTATTCACCTTTATTAAAATGTTATCAATCTTTTAACACAAGTGAATCTTTGGATTAGCCTTTGGCATCTTAGGAATAGAACACTCACTCTCATTTCAGGCTTTCACAGCTTAAAACCCCTTTCTGACATAACCTGATCAGTTTTTAAAGTCCCAGTGCTTTAAATTACAATGCAATCTGAGATATTCCCACAGCAATAAGAGCGATTACATTTGTTCACAGCACTTACCTTTATATTTCATTAAGCCTCCAAATACTGAATAAATGTAAGTCAAGTCAAGAAGAGAGACTTCTATTAACCCTGACACCAGCAAATTGTCTCAAATTATAGTGTGCCTTCTATTTGTGTTCTAGACATATTGAATGGGTTTTCTGAGATACATTTTATTATACCTCGCCCGTGGTATTAGGAGAAAATTGGAAGGAAATTAGTTTAAGTTGTTTCTAATTTTTAAAAAGTAATAGTAACTTTAAAAAGCATAATTCTCCCAAGTACACAGCTTCTACAATCTGGCAGAAATCATAACGTGATAACCAAAGTACCATCCCTAATCCTTGGGAAATAGCTTGAGAAGGTGGGGCTGCAAGTACCGGTTTGTTATTTGAAGTCACACAGTCCAAGGCCTGTAGCTATACATCCTGATCTGTGATAACATGCTTCCTGCCAAGGCTGGGAGTAGGTAGGAATAGAAGGGTCTCATATAGCTTTCCATTAACTTATTTTGGGAAAACGAAAACAGACATCTTGGCTTTAGAGAGCATGAAGCTCATCTTGTATGACTAAAGAAAATGACAAGAGCAAAAATGACAGGCTTCACATTTTGGATGGTCCTGCCCCAACCTCTGTGTGCCACTAATTGCTGGAAAAATGCCACACCTGTCTTTGTAGTGATTATATGTTTCTTAAATTTTACATCAGTAAAAGAAAGTTGAGAGACCAGGACTACCACCAAAGAGCATGTGCTACATACCACCTATGGGACTTGTAAGAAAATAGACAAAAACCTAGCTAACGTGTTTTAAAAATAGCTCCTTCCTTTTTGGGGGCTAGAGGATGAAAATATGCACATATTCCAAAGAGTTCTTTGTGTGAACAGGTGACCCCCTTCCCACAGTCTCTGTAATTAATTGAGAAATTAAAGTTGGTTGGCCTTTGAGATCTCTTGTAAAAAAAAAGGCAGAAGGTCTTGGATATTTTGGAACAAGAGTCCACTATTCTGCCAAGACAGTGTGTTATTGTTACTGAAGTGTCTCTCAACAAAACGGTATTGAGTGGTGAGGACGTGATTTTGATTAGGTGGAATGACTCAGCTCTTCCCCTTAAAGAAGAGAGGACTTGTCAGAGCCTTACTTACCTCATGATCTGGGATCTCAGAGGATAGTGTTTTCCCTAGGATGACCCCGGTCAAGTATGTCCAACAACGAGCTGTGTTGGCAAGGTTGTAGCCTCCTGTCTCCATCAAGAAGTGTGGAGTTAGGAAAGAATAGTCACAAAACAGCAGGAGAGGGAAGGGGGTAAGGAAGGAGAGAAAAATGTTTTAATAAAAGGGCTAAGAAGACAACTCCAACTTGCAGAATTTCATCTAACCATCCCTTTATGACATTATTAAACCACCTAGTAGGCTAACTTTGGTGGGCCAATCAGTTCATGCAGTGTGGAACTGGGAAATCCAAGGGCAACAAATATTAAACAGGCTCTCATCTGCCAACAATTATGTACCTGAGGAATCTAAGCTACTCAGTTTCACCAAGAGACTTTGGCAAGACTGAGATCCCTGGAACTTGGATCTCTGGAGGTGAACTCCACAGTGTGAAGGTTTCTGTGATGCATTTTGCAACAGTTTTATAAAGTGACTGCTGGGTGTGATTTGTATTTTACCATCGGAAGATCTGGCTCTAAAAGCATCCAGGAAAGAGAAAAGGAAAGTGCTGACAGACACAGACTTCCTTCTTTTAATATCAGCATTCCTTTTTGCCACAAAACATAGGCCTTGGTGGCAGAGATCAAAGAGAGTGAGCCGAGGAAAGGACTGCTGATTGATGCTCTGCCCTATCTCGTCAGGTCCTGTCACAGTCACCCAGCAGCCATACTACACTGGCTAATAATCAGCATATTTTTGTGCTGAGTAGATGTGCTCTGCCATGCAAGCATTAGAACATTGGCCGTTAGCTAAATTCCAAGAGTGTAAGGGTACAATGGGATGATTTCCTTACCCCAGCGCAGCCTAAGGGAAATAGAATCTGGTTTATTTTGGGTAGGACGACTATATAAATTATTGTCCAAAATGGTACACTTTCAAAGAGAACACCATTAATCATCACACTGGGATAACAAGTATAAACTGGGATATCTGGTCAACCTTTTCTTACGCTTGTCTACTATATGAAAGGCCAGAGATGTTGAGCTTCTGAAGTATATCTCTGTTAATTGTCTGTGTATTAATGGGGGCTGAAACTTTCAGGTAAACAGAACAGGTATTACTTCAAACAAATTCTGAATTTATAAGAGACTTATTTGAAATTATTGTTTCATTTCAAAACTGTAGATTTTGCTTAATAAGCTGTCTCTAGCACACATATAATATGATTAGATTTGAAAACAGTCCATTTATGCACAAGCATTTCCAGCAATATATATATTGTATAAGAAGGCTTATATGAGTATATTCAAAAGCCAGAACTTTGAGCTAAGAAAGCAAAAAGAGTTTAGAAAATGCTAACAGGCTCTTTGAATAAAGGCTGTAGTGTAGAAAAAAGTCAGCCAGACACATGTTGTAGAAAGGTCTTTTGCCTTCCTAGCTGTACCTGAATCATAAGCAGCATCCTTAGTGCTGTCAAGGAAAATAATATGTTACATAGTACTTATTAATTTAATCTTTTTCTTGGATTGAAGTTAATATATATCTTGCCAGCTTTTCATAAGAGGTTGTCTCTTGTAAGTGCCTTTAATTTTGATCTCTCTAGGGTTTGAGTGTGAGGGTGTTTGTTTGTGAGGGGGAAGACCAGGCTTGTATATTTTTGTTGAATGCTCATTCATCTACATAAGGCTTCCCTATGATTTCCCCTAATTTGGTTTTTATAACAGGTTAACAAAGCAACAGACTTACTTCTTCCCTAACACATGCACATTAAGCTCAACCTGCTTGATCATATTATTTTAACATAACAATCCAGTCATCCAGTGAAATAAAGATTATGCCAGGTAGGTAGACAGATTGTAAACAAGGCATCTTCAAAGGTGGTTGAGTTTGTGGAAGCTCTTTTTCTCAAATGTACAAATACTTCCATTGAATAAACCCAGATTTTTGTTGGTTAAGTTATACAAATAACAGAACACACTGAAGGCAAGAATGCCAAAGAGACTCTTTGGATCTCTCCATTTTGCTTCATTATAACAAATTCATGCTTTTAGGTGTGGGGGGAAGAGTGATTACTGAATTCAGCTTATCTATTTAATTAATTCATTTGTTTACTATTTATATGAATAGAGTTAGAATTTCAGTGGTATACTTCCAAAAGACAATTATTAAGACAAAGGACTTTTGCTTCAGGAATCGAGACTTCAGAGTGCCAAGGAGTCAAGGCACATGCGAAGCTGAGGAAGTGTGTCAGATTACTCCCTCCCTGCTCATCTGTGGAGGTAGTAGATTTCATTAACTCAGGCTCCTAGGCCACAAGCAGGTTAGCATTATCCAAACTAAGGAAGCCAAGTTTTTCTCAACCATCAGTGGACAAAATGTGGAAGAAGGTCAACAAATTCTCCTAGTGACCTTCCTTTGTACTCACCTCCTCCCAAAATGAGTGTTGCCAATTGCCACTGAAGGACATACTTAAGACACTTGCCAATTCCCACCGGAGTCATGTTAAAGGAACACATGGGATCACCAGCTATGGTATCAGCTCCCAACTGCAAGACCACTGCTTTGGGATTAAAGGCTTGGTATGCCTCCTTCAGTACACTGTAGATAAGAGAAAGGATACAAAATGTCAGAAAAAGATTGGTCAGTTTGGTCCAGTCATAGTGGCTGTGAGGTTTGTTGGAGGTAAAGCTGAATCAGCAAATAGTTAAGGAAAAAAAGCCACACTCTAAAACTCATCACACTTTCCACTCAAAAAGGATGAATTAGACTGTATGTACATTATAAACGAATAAACTTGGTCCAAAAAATCCCCCTCACCAATAAGCAAATTTGTTCTTCTGTTTTATAACTCATACTTCCCTGAAATATTAATATTAAGTAAGTGTCAACAGCCATGGGGAATTGTGTATACTTATTCCATTTTAAAAACTGGGAAAATAAGTCATAAACATTGGATAGTTATTAAGATTGTGACAATACTTAAGAGTTTATCAGCTAGTTATCAGTGGGGGCTGGGAGTGAGAAGTCCATGCTTTCAAAGCATAAATGTTATCAGCTTATCTTTTATTATGCAAAAAGCTTGAGGGTTATAAAATGCAATCCTCTCCAAAACATATGTAACCAAGGTATTAGAGGGCAAGGAACTGTAACAACTGACCCAAAATTATAGTGGGTAATACTGCACATAATTTTAGGTAAAATCATTCAATACTATCAAATCAACCTAACTGCTTTTTTCAATAGCTAGAAGCCTTATAAATGAAAAGGAAGATGTCAATTTGACAGATGACCTTAGTCAGACTTCCAATATTATCATTAATTGAACACTGACAATGTCCAGAATGCATTCCTAGGAGTTATAAGGTCCCTGCTCTCAAGGGGCTTACAATCTACTTTCCAGACAAAACATATACCAGTCCTCAAGGGCCTGCATAACTCTTACAGAGACATATAAACAAGTGCAAATTAACATACTTCAGAGTTGAGAAAATACAGAGTCAAAAAGTGATCGAAAATGTTGAGGTTAATGACCCCTTCATAATCAACATGTCAAATTACACCAGTGCGGCAAAACTAGAAAAAGCCCAGATCCTTCTGAAACTGCAAAAGGAATTCAGGGATATAAAATGCTGCCCTCCCCACTTCATATGTATCCAGGGTATTGAAAGCATTGAACAGTGCTCAGCCACAGAGGCATTCTTTGACTCAAAGGACTGTTTGCTTTTGATTTCTCATCTATACAAATATTGAGTGACTGCAGAGATTCTAGGACTATTATAACAATTATGACATATAATCCTTAATATAGGAATATTTGGTTCTACTCTCTTTCATGTGCTTATCTCCTGGGTGCAGAGGGAAGATAAGGCACCTGAACAGTTGAGAGGACAGTTACTGAGCATCTACACGTACAGAGCACCCTATTAACTGCTGCTGGGAGACACTGAGCAAGGTGTGATGTCTGTTCTAAAAAGATTTCTAGCTTAAAGGGGGGTGGGAGCAAGCAAGACTCATGTTCTTTTCATTCATTCTTTCCCTCACTTAGCACACATTCACTGAGGGCCCACTATGTGCCCAGCATATAACTGTACAAGATGCTGCAGGAATAAAGATGAATGTGGCACATCTTCTATCTTCACATGGCCCAGAATGGAGGGGGAAGATACAGACTATGTCAATAAATAATGAAAACGCAATGATCACTGAAACATCATAAATACAGAGGATGGAGGAACCAACTTTTCCAGAGGTTAGAAAAGGGTCTACAGAGGTAATCCTTGACTTAGGTGCTAAAATATGAGAATGATGATGAGTCAACTCTCCAGATGGCTAAAAATGAAAAATGGTGATGGTAACAACAATTCCTGGTGAGGATACAGAGAAACTAGATCACACATGATTTTGCTGGTGGCAAGTGGTATAGCCACTCTAGAAAACAGCTTAGCAGTTCCTGTCAAAACTAAAAATACATTTAGCATACAGGCCAGCAATTGTACTCTTGGGCTGTTTATTCCAGAGAAACTAACACTTATTTTCTCATAGGAACTGTATATAAATGTTCTCAGTGGTTTTATTTGTAGTAGCCACCAAACCGGAAACAATTCAGATGTAAATAGTAAAAAAAAAAAAAAACAAAAAAAAAAAACAAAACACAACAACAACAACCCTGGTATATCTATACCATGGGAATATTGCTCATCAATAAGAAAAAACCAACTATTGATATGGGCAAAATATTTGGATGTATCTCAAGGAAACTATGCTGGGTAAATAAGGCCAATCTCAAAAGAATCTGTACATTATTCCATTTATATAACATTTGTGAAATAATTACTATAGAGATGGGTAAGAGATTAGTGATTGCCAAGGGTTAGGAATGGGTGTGGCTATAAAGAGGTAGCATGAGGGAGCTTTGTGGTGATGTTACAGCTCTGTATCTTGATTGTGACTGTGATTATGCAAGACTACATGTGATAAAATTGCATAGGGCCAGAAACACACACACACACACACATACACGGGTGAGTATAACTGTTGAAATATGAATTAACTCTATTGATGGTACCAATGTTAATTTCTTGATTTTCATGCTGTATTTATTATATTTGTGCAAGACAGCAACACTGGGGGAGGCTGGAGGAGGAGCTGTACATTTCTTTGCAACCTCCTGTGAATTTGTGATTCTTTTGTAATAAAAAGTTTTTAAAAAGCATAGGAGAGGGGCCAGCATGGTGGCGCAGCATGTTAAACCTCTGCCTGCAGCACTGGCATCCCATATGGGCACCAGTTAGAGTCTCAGTTGCTCCCCTTCAGATCCAGCTCCCTGCTAACGCGCCTGGGAAAGGAGCAGAAGATGGCCCAAGTGCTTGGGCCCCTGTACTCATGTGGGAGACCCAGACGAAGCTCCTGGCTCCTGACTTTGGTCTGGCCCAACTCTAACCGTTGCAGCCATTTGGGGAGTGAACCAGCAAATGGAAGACTTCTCTCTCAGCCTCTGCCTCTTCTTCTCTGTAACATTACCTTTTAAATAAATCTTTTTAAAAAAGTGTAGAAATTTATAGGCATGTGGGGTGAATATAGGGGAGTCGGAGGCAATGATGGTTGTAAGTTATAGGTAGGGGACTAGGATCCGAGAAGAAAGTGCATGTGTAACAGCATGCAGGCTTGAAACAGGGAGTGATGGGATGAGGCTAGAGAAGTAACTGTGGGCTACACATGCCAGCAAAGCATTTGAATTTTTACCTAAAGGGTATGAAATGTCTAAATACTGTGTGGGGCTGGCATTGTGGTGCAGTAGGTTAATCTTCTGCCTGCGGTGCTGGCATCCCATATGGGTGCCGGTTCTAGTCCCGGCTGCTCCTCTGCTGTGGCCTGGGAAAGCAGTGGAGGATGGCCCAAGTGCTTGGACCCCTGCACCTTATTGTGAAACCAGGAGGAAGCTCCTGGCTCCTGGCTTCGGATCCGTGCAGCTCTGGTTATTGCAGCCGTTTGGGAAGTGAACTAGTGGAAGGAAGACCTTTCTGTCTCTCCCTCTCACTCTCTAACTCTACCTTTCAAATAAATAAACAAAATCTTAAAAAAATAAACACTGTGTGTGTGTGTATATGCACACGTGTGTTGGGGACATGATTATATTTCCATTTTAAAGATGCTATATCCTCTAGTGTAGGATACACTACAGGGCTTTTGCAATAATCCACACCAGTGACAGCAAGAATGGAGAGAAGACAGATTAGGGAGATATTTCTGGAGTATAATTGATGGAATAATACAGAGTGACACTATGAGAAAAGCATATACCTATAATAATGAGTTCTTGGTAATTAGGAAAGAGGAAAGGATAAAGGGAGGCATGTGTTACTAGAATAGTTGTCTTAATGATAGCAAAGCAGGGAAAACAAATCCTTAAGGAGTTCTGATGAAGAGGGCTCTGGATGGACAGAGAAAAGGTAATTAGAAGCTTTGAAAAATAGTATTTTGAAAATAGTGTAAATTCAAAGTTACCGGAATCGAAGAGAGTTTACAGAGGGCTAGAGGGTGCACATTCTTAAGTTCAAGACTGGAGTTTTTATTTGATTTGACAGTCAAATGGGAGCCACTGGAGAAGCATGAGATAAGTACTGGTATTTGAACTGTGATTTTTTTTTTCTGTTGCATGTAAGACCAAAGCAATCAAGTCTGGAGGCAGAGGGGTTGGCAAAGATGTTATTCAAGCATTCTAAGCATGAGAACAACAGGAAGCAAGGTAAGGTAAATTTGGAAAAAATTGAGAGGGCTAGGTGACATAGCAGAGGGGAAAGGTCAAAAGAGAAATGATACCATGCCCTTCCTCCAGAAATCCCAGGTGGGAAAAAAAAAAAGAAATTGGAATATTTCTTTTCCTATTGTCACTTCCAAATCCACTATTCTTTCCTCTCATCAGTCTCTCCTCTTTTGAAGTCAATGTTATTTACTTATTTTTTTAAAGATTTATTTTTTTTATTTGAAAGACAGAGTTACAGAGAGAAAGATATTCTTTCTCTCTCTCTCTCTTTTTTTTTTTACTTGAGAGTTGGAGTTACACAGAGAGAGGAGAGGCAGAGAGAGAGGTCTTCCATCCGATGGTTCATTCCCCAGTTGGCCGCAATGGCTGGAACTGCGCCAATCCGAAGCCAGGAGCCAGGAGCCAGGAGCAGGTGCAGGGGCCCAAGGACTTGGACCATCTTCCACTGCTATCCCAGGCCATATCAGAGAGCTGGATGGGAAGTGGAGCAGCCGGGACTAGAACTGGCACCCATTTGGGATGCCAGCGCTTCAGGCCAGGGCGTTAACCCGCTGCGCCACAGCGCTGGCCCCGAAAGTAAGATATTTTATCAGCTGGTTCACTCTCCAAATGGTCGAAATGGCCAGGGCTGGGCCAGGTTGAAGCCAGGAACCAGGAGCTTCATCTGGATCTCCCAAGCCCTTGGGCCATCTTCCACTGCTTTCTCAGGCGTATTAGCACAGAGCTGGATTGGAAGTGGAGCAGCCAGGACAAGAACCAACGCCCATATGGGATGCCAGCACTGCAGGTGGTGGCTTTACCTGCTATGCCACAATACTGACAGCCTCCTTATTTA